CACAGCGCAGCAGTGACTTCACCCTTCCCTGGCCCGTCCGGTCGGGGGCGGCGGGAGGGGCCTGCCCCGGCCCTCTGTCACCGTCCCGCCGCCAGGTGTTCTTCGTGGAGTCCGTCTGCGACGACCCCGACGTCATCGCCGCCAACATCCTGGTGGGTGGCCGTGGGCGCCCGCAGGGGCAGGCGGGCGCGCCGTCCCCCTGCCCCTCCCGAGGAGCGTGGGCTGTGAGGGAAGGGCCGGCGGCTGCCCGAGGCCGGGCGGCGCCTGAGGGCCTGAGTCCAGGGGACTGACCGCTCTGGGGGGGCCAGATCGGGCGCTGCGGGGGTTGGGGGGCCCTGCTGTCCCCAGAGGGGCCGTCAGCGCTGCCGCCCGCGGCTACAGGAGGTGAAGGTGTCCAGCCCCGACTACCCCGAGAGGGACAGGGAGAACGTGATGGAGGACTTCCTGCGCAGGATCGAGTGTTACCAGGTCACCTACCGGCCCCTGGACCCCGACAGCCACGACAAGTAAGGGGCTGGGCGGGCGGGCGCCCCGCTGCCAGACCCTCCCCCGACGCCGCCCCTGGGTGGTGCCCGCGGGCGCAGCGTCCTTCAGCTCTGGGCGGGGCTCTCCCCCGGCCCTGCTGGGTGCCCTGCGTGGGGCGCTCGGGGCTTGTGGGGCGTCAGGTGCACCCCGGCGCCGCCACCACTCCCAGCCCCATGCTGGCCGCCTGGGGCTCTGCGCCCCTCGACTGGAGGCCCCCCCGGCTGGAGCCCCCCTTCCCGGCTGAACCCCCCTCCCGGCGGGAGCGCCCCACCGCCCCAGGCCCCCGCGGCGCCCCCACTCGCCAGCCGGCGCTCACGCCCGCCCGCCAGGGACCTGTCCTTCATCAAGGTGATGAACGTGGGCCAGCGCTTCCTGGTGAACCGCGTGCGCGACTACATCCAGAGCAAGATCGTGTACTACCTCATGAACATCCACGTGCAGCCGCGCACCATCTACCTGTGCCGGCACGGCGAGAGCCAGGGCAACCTGCAGGGCCGCGTCGGCGGCGACGCGGGGCTCTCCCCGCGCGGCAAGCAGGTGGGGGGCCC